CACGCTATAGAAAAATATTCACGCCTCATGGCTAATTTTTCGCATCTTCACGACTAACGGCTAATTTTTCAGCCATTTCACRGCTCACGGTTAACCMCATTGAGACCCTCTTGGAAATRAATTCGGAAAAATTRATGACCGWCCCTCTKGGATTCAAACCCACGGATCTCGAATTTGTATGACCGATGCTCTACCAACTGGGAGSAGGTCGGGATGAAACAGATGTTGGGTTGCGGYTATTGAAATATTGAAATACAAAGATGTCAACATGTCTATGTCTTTACATTTAAAATCAATTTCACCAGGGGAAACGACTATTGTACATAACAGACATTTGAAAAGGGCAACTGGCAAACGCTTTTGACTTCATCATACCAAAATAAACGATACTTTGCTTACGTAATTGTTTTACTTGTCTTGAGAGGAAAAAAATGAACATTCTACTGTCTTTAGTCAGATAATGTTTTATCCAATGATATAATATTACATTCCTGAATGAGCATGACAAGGGCGACACTACAACCTATCATAACCAAGATGATAAAARCAGTCTTTTCTTGACAGTGTGTTCATCGCGATCTTGCTGCTCGGAATGTCTTGTTAACTGAAAATGTACGAGCAAAGATCGCTGACTTCGGGCTGTCTCGTGACGTCTACGAACGTGGTTTTTATCAGAAAACGTCTCAGGTAATATAACGTCGTTTTTTGGTTGATAGAAAAAGTTAACCTTCAGTTAGCTATATATATTTATATTTATTCCAGGGTAAGTTGCCTGTGCGATGGATGGCTATCGAGGCAATACAACAAATGGTCTTTACCACTCAAAGTGACGTGTACGTACTGTTTGTTTTACTTCCATGTTTTGTTTTTGTATGTTTCTTCGATAACGGCAGCCAGGTTGAATTTCCGCCATTTCAAAGAGCCAGCGGATAGCTTAAAAAGAAAACATATAAATGGCGTAAGATTCAAGATGGYGGACATAATCGAAGAAATACAAAAATAAAAAAAAGTATATTTAATAATCCGGGTCTTTTTCCTCATTTTTATCTATTCATTATTCTATACAACTGATTTATCACCTTCAATACAGCTGGTCTTATGGAGTGGTGCTGTGGGAGATCGAGACCGGAGGTAAGTCCATAACCATCATAAGCAATCGATATAACACTGAGAAAAATCGCGCACTTTAAACGGTTGGTAAATTTGATGTAAAAATTATGTGTGCCGTGTCTAAATATTTACATTTGTATTATAATTTATGCGAGCATGCTTGTTAGTGTAAAAGGATGCCACGAGTTTTCTAGAGCTAACAAATTTCACCGTGTAATAAAATCAATTTCCTTTAAGTTACAAGACTTGTATGTTGATGAGAGGGTGACCCAATCATGTAGAATACGCTACAAAGTAAGTGTCCAAAATGATGTAAATTTATATCAAATTTACATCATTTTGTACATTTACATAATATTTACATCAAATTTACAAATTTTATAGTGCGCGATTAAGTCAGTTGCTAACGCAAACCGAGTCAGGGTTCTGCCCTAGGCCGCAACACCACTCAAGGCCTTAAAATGATGAAATATTGCTGCCTTTGTTTCTGCACCTACAAATAGTTAGTTCTTCTCGGATAAGGACGTTAAACTATTGAGGTTCTGTCTTCCTGGCGTAAAAGAACTATTCGATGACGTAACAAAATCTGGTTGCGTTGTCCGGCTTTGGTCAGTGTTGCAGTTGTCCGGCCGGCCGAAAAGACTTGAAAGTCGGCAAAACTAATAAGATTTATCCTGCAGTTGCCTGTAAATTGGTTTAATAGATGATGATTTTCTGTTTTAATTTAAAATAATGACCTTATTTTCGCAAAAGGTGATTTCCAAAAGTGATGCAATTTGCATTTGTTAGTTTGATTCCCCGGGGATTATGAAAATGAGTAAACAAAAGCCATTCAAAATGCAACTTTGTGTCACTCAACTCGAGGCAGCCGTTAAGGGATACAGTCTTCAATTCGTATTATGAATTTTTGTTCCTCAATTTACATATACTGACACTGAAAACCTGTCCCTATCCGTCCCTCTCTATTATAATCACCTTTCACGTGAATAAAATATATGTTTTCAATAAAGGTAAGATGCCTTACGGAGGACTGAAAATGAAGGAGTTATTAAACCATTTGAAAAAAGGCCAGCGTCTGCAGCGTCCAATCACATGCAAGGAAGAAATGTGAGTAGCCAGTAATGATAGATGTATACGTGATATAGCACCAATAGCGTTATTTGCAATTATATATAGTGCTCAGGTGAACTYATTTGTCAGTATTCATTCATTCCTGCTTCATGTACTGCAATCTCATAGACACAGCCACGTAACTTTCGAAGAACAATGATTGTGTGACATACGATATGATTGTGCGTGTTTTCTGAAAAATCAGACTAGACTATCAATAAATGATATATTTCATCTCACT